CAAATAAGGTTCAATTTTTGCCGTAGGCAAAAATTCTAAAGTTAAGAAAGGTAAGCTTTATGCTTTGTACTATTTATCGTGTTGAAAATAAGGCAAAAATTCTAAAGTTAAGAAAGGTAAAAACTAGTGCTATTTATACATTCGTGAAGGCTATTTTACTAATGATAAGCTATGACTAATAATTGATAATAAAGTAATACAGATTGTGAATAATAATAATAAATGGCTAATAACGTAAATATTTGGATGATCGTTAATTAATGATTGTGGATAAGGTATAATATGCCCTGATTTGGCAATCGGATTGTGTCAATCAATTTTGATTAAGGCGTAATGTATCTGTTTGTGGCACGGCGTAGATCGCCGGCAGATTTTTAAGGGTGCCGGTACACGCTGAGCTGATGCTGAGCCCTTGGCGGTGAAATTTAGTTTTACTTGTACAGGTGTTTCTATTGTTTTGGGGGTTTTGGCGTTTTTGTCACTCCTTTATTAGTTTTCTGGTGTAAAGGTTTTTCTTTGGCGTATTCCTTTTCTGGATCTAATCTGTGTGGATCATAAGTGATTTTTCCTTTTTTGGTAATATACTCATTTTCGTAATAAGGTATTAATAATTCAAATAGTTTTTGTTTATTCATGTGAATTGTTGGTGTGAAGCATAAGTGTTGTACTTCTTTTTGTAATAAGTATTTGAAGTTTGTTTGGATATTTGGTTCCATATTCTTGATAAAATTCTTTTCTTTATCAGTTAAATGATATAACCAAATTGGTATGGTTACTCTATTCGTTTCGAGTACAGTTTTGGTCTCATGATTGTATAATAGTTTTGTTCCACTTTGATTATGTGAATGATAGTGGTGTATCATGATAAGTTGCATTCGTGAATGATCTATTTTTAGATCCAATTCTTCTTGTGCTTCTCGTACAATTCCTTCGAAATATGTTTCATTCAATTCTACTTTTCCTCCGAAGCATGACCATTGATTTGGGTATATTTTACATTGGTCTGTTCTTTGTGCAGTGAGGATTTTTGGTTTTACTATATCGCCTTGTTCTATTTTTTCCATGATATATGGTATTATCACAGTATATTTTCGATGTTCTTTAATATTGATTTTTTTTGGTAATTGATCAACTTCTTCTAGTTGTTTGGAGTTTTCAATAGTTGGTTTTTCTGAAATTATGGTTCTAATTATGTCATTCAAGTTTTCGTGGTTGTTATTGATTTCAATGTAATTTGGGTATGCTTCTAAAATATTTTTTTCGTAAGAGAGGTATATTTCTTCAAGATATTTTGTATTAACATCATCTTTGCTTAGATTTTGTTCTTCTTTTCTTTTAATATGTCATCTTAGCAATTCTTCTAGTTTTGGTTTACAGTAAATTACTAATGGATTACTTGAGTATAATGCTTCTTTTAATTGTTGTCGAATGTTTTCTAAAATTTTTCTTTCTTCGTGATTTTCAATATAGATATTTTCAAAGATGATAGTATCTATAAATATTCGATCCATAAGGATATAGGTTGATTTGTCAATTTCAGTTATAAGTTTTAGCTGATACCATTTTTTCTGGTATTCTTCGAGTATACACATTTGTCGTGCGAATGCATATTTTTCTTTATTTTTGTTTATCTGGACTAGTGATTCAGATATTTCATTTGGTAATCCTTCTACTCTAATTATTTTTTGGTGTCGTTCTTCAAGATATTGTTCAAGATTTTTTGTAAGCGTTGTTTTTCTGCAGCTACGGCTCCTGTTACTATAATAATTTTAGCATTGATTCTTAAATCAAGTTTTTGGATTAGTTCGTAATACTTTGGTAATGGTCTATATATTTTATGGATTGTAAATATTGGTATCATGAATTCTGTTTTTGTTTGTTCTTTTCTTTTTAATAATTTCGAAATTGTTTTATTTCGTTGTGTTATTTTCACTGGTCTTGTTTTTCTGGTTGTTGGTTCTATATCAATTTCCTCATCCCAAAATTTTCTGATTTGTTCTCGAGTCATTAGTGATGGTAGTTCAATTAAAAATTTTTTCTTGTTTGGTTCGCTGTTATATCTTTCTTCTCCTAATACCCTTTTCATTAGTTCTTCTTGAATTTGAGTTGGTATAAATTTATATTCTTCTGGTCTGTTCATCTTGGTGTTAGTATTATGTTCCATGAATCTTCTCTTCTTGTTAAAGTATTTGTTGATCCTCTTATAATTATTCTTCGTACTATTTCTGCAGTTCTCAGTTGATTATAAGAAGTAGTTAGTTGTTGGTTAACTCTTTTTAAGTTTGTTTTTAATTGTTCTTTAGTGTATCTTTCCTCAGCTGGTTCTATTTGTTAGTAAATTTGGAATTGTAACCTTGCTAAAATTGCTTTTTGGTTTTGACCTACGTTTCTATTATTTCTTGATTCGGTTGTTTTTATATATTCGAATCCTAAATTTTCTCATATCCTTTCTTCTGTATGAAATTCTTCTTCAAATAATGATTCTGATGTTCGTATTCTATTTTCTAGGAATGTTAATTGATTTTTTATTCCTTCTACGAAAGTGGTAAATTCTGATATTTCGTGATTTATATTTTGTAATTCTTCAAGTTGTTCTTGGTTCATCAATAGTCTTCTTTTGTTTAATTATAATGTAAGTTATAATTATTATTCCTATAGTTATTATGATTCCTATTGTTGCTAACGCTATTGGTCGTAGTTGTATTTTGATTTCTTGTGGTATTCCTATTTGCTGTATGACTGTTGGGTTATTGTTCATTTAACTCTTCGAGATGATTGTTGATTTCTTTTAGGAGTTTGTTTAATTTTTGTAGTGATTTCTGTTTAAGTATTTCTTCCAATACTATTCTTACTGATATTCCTAATGGTAATTGGTGTTCTAATTCTTTTAATTTTGTTATTAATTTTTCTTTGGTATAAATTTGTTGTTGGTATTGGATGATATTGTCTTTTGCTTTTTGTAATACTTTCTTTAAATATTCTGGATTGTATCGATCTATTGTTATACTCATTAATATGGTGTGTAATCTATTAATTGATCGTTTGGATTGTATATTTCGTAAGTTATTGGTGTGAAGCTGATAATGTCAATATATCTGATTATTTTTCCTCTTAAATGTCTTGGTATAAAGTCAATTCTTTTTTGGTATTTTTCTTTAATATTGTACCAGTCTTGGTAAGTATTTGAGTTTAATATGTCAGTGATATATTGTATTTCTTTATCTATGTTGTCTTGTGCACATAAGAATTATATTAATTCTTCTTGAAATTCTTCAAAGTCCTCGTTTGTTATTAGAGTATTTAAATCTTTGGTAATTGTTTGTTGTAGTATAAATAGTTTTATCTACCTTCTTAATTGATATTCTTTTACTATTTTACTTTCTCTTAAGAGTAATAATAGATAATTTTGTAAATCTCCGTTTAGTACTTCTTCTAAAACTTTTCTAGGTTTTGGTGGTGGTCGTATGAGTTTCTTGTTGGATGTTATTGGTTCAATAGATATTTCTGGTTCCCAAGGATTATTATCTTCTGTTGAGAGTTTAGTGAATTGGTCAAATAGTTTGTTTAAATTTGTTTCTTCTGGAAAGAATGTTTTGTTTTGATATTCTTCAAATAGTTGTTTTATTGATTTAATTTGTTGTCCTATTTCTTCTTCTGGGTGTATTGTCAGATTTCTTTTAGAGTAATTACACGGTTTATTTTCGATTTTACAGTTGTTACACTTTTTTTGTCAGGTATTTTCTTTGATACACTCTATTCTTTTTTGAATACAATTGTCACAGTTTTTGTTTATTTCTTCCACTTTTATTTTGTCAGAGTTATTTTGTTTATGGTACTTTTTAGGTTTTTGGTATTTGCACTGTAATTTTTTATGTTTGCAGTATATACACGTATTAGTATTTGTTTTTATACAACGTGTTTTTCTTTTCCTACAGTTTTCACAATGGTTATAATTTGCTTGTTTTGGTTTGGTGGAGGTACACGGTAATTCTTTTTCAATGCAGGAATTACACTTTTCTTCAGTTGGTTGTTTGATGCAATATTTTTTAAATATATTACAATTGTCACAGTTTTTAATCCTTGTTCCTTTGTGGTATTGTTGTCATTTTGAATATTCACACTTTAAATTGTGTTTTATACACCTTCTGCACTTTAGTTTTTCTTTGTCTTTTATACAGCGTGTTGGTATGCTGAGACAATTGTTACAGTACCTATTGATTTCTATTGCTTTCACTTTGATTTCTCTGGGTAATTATATTGTTGACTTCTTTAATGACCTTTTCTGTTCCTGTTTTTAATTTTTCTTCATTATATTTTCGATTTCCAGGTACTCATTCTCGTATTTTCTTTTCTTCGTATTTGCACTCTAATTGGTTTCTTTTGCAGTATTTACACTTTTCTTGATTTTCTTTCTTTTTACACTGTTTATGTATTCTTGTACAATGAGTACACTTGGTATTTAATAACATTCAATTTAATATATGGTCCAATGATGTTTTGAGTGTCTCTTCAATAGTTTCTTCAGTGGTTGTCTCTTCGAATGTTTCTGTTAATGTTTGTCTTTTACTTCTTTTTACTTTAAAGGTTCGTGAATCTATTCTTGTTGTTGTGCATTCAATTTTTTCTTTGATATACCAGTTACACTTTTCCTGGTTATTTTGATATTCATACTTCTTTTTATATTTGGCACAATAATCGCAGGCTTTGCAATTTTTTACCCAAGTTATTTTCTGATATTGTTGTGTTTTTAGGTTTTTCCTAGATTCGTCCTGGGCCACTTGTTGTGCTTTATCTATTAAGGTAATTACCTTCTGTTTGTATTCCTGTCCTTCAAGGTTGATTAATTTTTCAAGCTTTTGCTGGTAGCTTTCTTCTTGTTCTGGAAAGAATTCTTTGGTTTTTACTAATTCTCTTAAGTTTAGTTTACTTAGTGTTAATCTTGTTATAGTTTGAGAAGTTATTGGTTGTTCGATTAATTCAATTTGTCTTTTTAAGTGTTGGTATATTTTTCTAAATATGGTTGTTTTATCGATTATTGTTTGTTCATTAAGGTCCATTCGTTTTATCGTTCAGGATGATAATTTTTGCTGTGTTTAAATATCTTTTTGTTGTTGTATATAATTAGTAATAATAACGCCTTAATTCGTTACTTTCCCGTAGTACTTCAGAGATATTTCTTTTGGAATAACTCATCTAAAGGCACATCCTTGGTGTCTTACGATAAAGATTTCTTTGTTCCTGATTGTTTGTTATTCTAATTTATTTTGAGAGTACTCAGATTTTCCTTCCCGAGAGTTTCACTATTATTCCCTTGTTATGATCAACTGATCTTAAGAATAATTTAACTAGTGATGTGAAGTCTTACTCTTTGCTCCATTTGGTGATATTATTTATTTATTCATTGACTAATGATATCTTTTGTCACACTTCCCCATGGTGTGATTAATATTCTAATTCCTATTGGTGTTTCTGTTATTATAATATGGATAGATGTTTTGATTGATTGTTTTGAGTGTGAACCAAACACTCATATCGACTAGCACCAATTTGTGGCATGAGCCCTAAATATTTATATTTTTCTGGTGCTACTATGCCCCATCCATCTCATAGTGCTATCGCACACTTTTCACTTTATAGGCATATTAAAATTGCGCCGTCTAGGTCACAATGTTATTATATCTATTCTGTGCGCCTTGAATGCTAAGTTATACAAGATTGATAATTTATAATTTCTTTAAGTAATACTAAATTATTAATGCTATTTGGTAAACTATATTTGGTTAAATTATTCATGTGTAATATTGATAGTGATATTATTCGGAGATGGTGGTACTGATATAGATTTTCCTTGTTCTCTGATAATTTTAATAAATTCATTTTTAGAGATTTCTTGTATTTCATTAATTGGTTTTATCGTTGATGATCGTGTTTTTCTTTCTCGTGATACTTGTAACCATTGTGCTGTTTCTGTCTGAAGTAATTCTTCTTCTGTAGGTAATTCTTTTAAGTCTGTTGCACTATCATTGCTTCAATTTCTTTTGTAAAGTCCTATAAGGAATGATCTGTTTAGGATTTCTCTTCTATATTGGTTTGCTCTTGTTGGTAAGCTTTATTAGTATAATAGTATGTTTCTTCTGCTAATTGTTCATTTATTTTTTCTGCTATTTCTGATATTTCATCTCCTAAAGTTTCAAGCTTTTGGCTACTTGATTCATTTGAGAGTAATTTCGTAAGTCTTGTCTTTCCAAGTATTGTTCTAATCTTTGAATTCTTCTTTCTTGCATATGTTAGTTATTGAATATTTGTTCAAGGGTTAATATTAGATTGTGTATTCCTATAGCAAAGTGTTGAAATCCTCACTGGATCCAATCTTGTTTTGAAGCGAAATTGTTTCTTTCAAGAAATTCTATTGGTTCTGGTGTTTCCACTCGTTGCTTTCCCTTGTTAGTTGGTTAGTTCATTTAGAAGCAATTTTTGCACATTTGTCTTTCTTTTTCATTATTAGTTCATAGTGCGTTTTCTGTCTCACAATGTAGGCAATATTGTTGCCTTTTAAATTCTTCATTATAACAGTGATTATGATAGTAATTACTATGACATTGGTTACAATATTCTTCTTTTTTATGTTGGTGATTTCTAGTTTCTTCAGTTTGTACAATGGTATATTCCCATGGTTCTTCTTGTTCGATTACTATTGTCATTAGGCATGATTTACATAGGACGTTAGTTCCTTTTATTTGCTTAAAGAATTTTCTATTATATTCGTGGAAGGTTCTATCCTTTGGATTAGCCTCTCCGAAGCTTCTATTTATTGCCCTTTGAAGTTCAGTTTCATTGAAAAATAGTTGTCCAAATAGTTGTTCATTAGTTTCATCCGTTATTTCTTCATTTATGAATTGTTGTGGCACTATCCCGTTTGGTGTTGAGAATACATCGTTTGGTTGTATTTTTCTATTTACCGTTTGTGGGTTTATTCTTCTTTGTCGTATTTCTTCAAATATTTCTCTAGTTAATGTTAGATTTATTTCATTATACGAGGTTTTCTTCCTTGTTGATTCTGTCCAATATCGAAGTCTCCCTTCAAAGGTATAATTTAGGTTTATTAATTCTAATGCTATGGTGTGCTAATCTTTCTTCTATTTTGCAGAAGAATGATCCTCCTTAGTTTTTCATTTGTTGTTTAAGTTTTTCAGTTCCACAACTTATACATGTAATAAGACTTCCAGAGTCTATTAGTTGTTCTCGAATGATTTCTTTGTCTGATGCATTATCATCTGATATTTGTTGATATACTTCAATTCGACATGTTTCGCAGTATAATAGTGTGGTTTTGTTATCTATTTTTACTGGTTCTAGTTTTGGTCATGATTCACTGCATGGTTGGTAGCAGTTACAACAATGCTATTTCTTTTGTTTTGATGTTAGTGAGTCGGGGTTTATTAATGAGTTTCTACGCACTTTCCATATTTCTTTTTTATTGCATCCACAGGTTTGGTTTCGGTTGTTATCCCATAGTATTCTCTTTGGACAGTATTCTTCAATATGTTTATATTCATAACAGTAAGTGCATTGTGTTAGGTAACAGTTTAATTGGTGATGTCCCTGTTATTCACATAGTTCACAGATGAATTTGTCACATTTGCTGCGGTGATGTGGTCCTCTACATTTTCTACAAATAATGTTTGGGCATTCCTTATAATCGTGAATGCCTTGCTTCCCATTACAGATTTTACATCTCGAAAGATCTGTTCCTCCTAGATTGCTTGAAGATAGTGTTTGCTCTGTTCCACTATTTTGAAAGTTTGTTGTAGTTGTTGGTTCATCATTCGGTTCACTGTTACTAGTTGTGATTTGGTCAATGTTCATGGGCTTTCCAGGTTGTATGTTGACTTTTTTACTAAGTACCATGGTTCTGGACTTCCTTTCAAGTTATTTCGAAATTGCTGATAGTTCGGTATTCTTTGATATATTGGTTTATAAGTTTCGGGTATGTTCTTGCCGGTTTCAATTATACTCCAAGGATTTGACTTAATAAACTGGTGTCTCTTGTTAGGTACATTTGATTCATTTCGTCCTGTATTTGTAAATCATTTTTGGTTGGGTGTTGCTATATTGATACTAATGATTTTGGTATTTGTTGGTTCATTGGTTTTGGGGTTTTTCTGTCAGTCGATTTTGGGGTTCTTTTATAGTTTTAGGGTTGTTTTGGATCATCACGCGTTTCAGTCGCATCAATTTCCATATTTGGTTTATCATCTTATTTATCTTCGATTAATAATTCATTTCTTATTGCTTCAATCATTGTGGCCTACAGCTGACCTTGATATTGTCTTTGCCATATGTACTCAAGTAGATATGGTTCAATTCTTTCTTCATTTCTATTTTTAGCAGGTATTAATATCTTTAATCCATTCTAATTCCCTTCTATGGTATTGGTATGTATTCCTGTTTCAAGATCTTTGAAGTATTTTGAATGGTTTACATTTCCATATTGGTTTCCTAAGATTGGCATAATACCATCATACGCTTTTCATTGGTCTGTGTAAATAATTGATCCTTCTTCAACGTTATCTTTAATGATTTGTAATATTGATTCTTTATCTCTTTTGTTTATTGTTTTGACAAATATTCTTCGGTCAGGAGTTCTTTCTACTCCTCCAATGACCTATACTTCTTTTACAGATCTTCCTCTGTGATACTTTACTCTTCCAAATAGTGATTCATCTATTTCTACAATGATATCTAGTCCTCCTATCTTTTGGTATGTATCTTGTATTTGTGACCCTATCATTTGTCTTATCTTATTAATTTTATTTGTTATTGTTGATGTCGAATGACCAGTCATTAGTCCTATTGATTTTGGTAAAACTTTTTTTTTTTTTTTAATGTTAAGGTGACCACTTTGGGGTCTGGCATGTTTTATTAAACTTTGGATCGAATGCCAGGGCAGCCAC